TATCATGATATAAGGAAATAAATAATAACTTTATTATTGCCTCTAGGGCATATTTCCTTCACTCATATGGCAAGTTACACGAACCTGCTGTTAGTATTTAGTTTAGCCAATTAAGCCATAGCAAAAAAAATATGGATAACAAGGTTATGTTCTTTGAACTGACCGCATGTGGATAGTGAGCGATAGTTTGCCCCATACTCATGTTCAAAGTTGGCACCATACCGGTCCTATGTGTCGAGTGTAAGAGTTCAGTTTAACATGAGAAGAACAATCTATTTAACAATGGTGTAAGAGTTCATTTAACATGTAGAGAACAATCTATTGAATGATGGCGTAAGGTCAGCATGCTACCTCTTGTTAAGGTCCTTTCACAAAGACATAGTTCGCTACACGAAGCTTGGCCCCTTGTCTTTTTGGCACATTGGCGTTTATGGCGGCACTTACCTGAATATTTGAGACAATCAGTGTCTTGGAGTTCTGTTTGATGTAATCTTCTTTTGCGACGTGTTTGTTGGGATCCGATGAATTATGTGTTCATGATCAGATTATTCATGAATACTGAGTCTTCTCTAAACTCTTTTATGCATGATTATTATAGCTTTGTATTTCTCTCCAATCTATCGGTTTGGTTTGGCCAACTAGATTGATTTATCTTGCAATGGGAGAGGTGCTTTGTGATGGGTTTAATCTTGCAGTACTCCATCCTAGTGACAGAAAGGGAAATGCCAAGTATTTGTATTGTTTCCATTAAGGATAAAACGATGGAGTTTATTCATATTGCTTTAGTTTACTTTGGCTACATCATGTCATCTTGCTTAAGACGTTACTCTGTTTTTATAGCTTAATACCCTAGATGCATCCTAGATAGCGGTCGATGGGTGGAGTAATAGTAGTAGATCCAGGCAGGAGTCGATCTACTTGTCTCAGACGTGATGCCTATATACATGATCATTGCCTTGAATATCGTCATAACTATGCGCTTTTCTATCAATTGTCCAACAATAATTTATTTACCCACCGTATACTATGTGTTCGAGAGAGAAGCCTCTAGTGAAAACTATGGCCCCCGGTCTACTTTTATCATTTATAAAATCCAAAAATACCTTGTTGCATTTATTTTATTTTAATTCATTTTGTATTTTATCTTAGCTATCTACCACTACGAGATTTGATCCTTGCAAATAACAGTGAGGGGATTGGCAACCCCCTTGATCGCGTTGGGTGCAAGTATTTTCTTTTGTGTGTGTAGGTGCTGCTAACAAGGTTCTGTGTGATTTTCCTACTGGATTAATAACCTTGGTTTTTAATTGAGAGAAATACTTATCTATAATGTACTGCATCATCCTCTCTTTTTCAAGGAAATCCAACGCAGCTGACAAGTGGTACTGACTAGCACGGTCAACAGGGCAAGAGAGCTCCTGAAGCAGCTGGCGAAGCCACGAACACTCGGCGACAGCGTTGGCCACCGCACGACACTCAGCCTCAGCACTGGAACGAGAGACCGTAGGCTGCCGCTTGGACGACCACGAGATAAGTGATGGTCCAAGGTAGACACAATAGCCTGAAGTGGAGTGACGAGTGTCAGGGCAGCCCGTCCAGTCTGCATCGGAGTAGGCGGTGAGGGCGGTGTCGGCGGAGGCGTGAAGCATGACGCCAAGATCCATAGTGCCACAGATATAGCGGAGAATCCGCTTGATGGCAGCCAAGTGAACGTCTCGAGGAGCATGCATATGCAGACACACCTGTTGCACAACGGATCTCCGGTCGAGTCAGAGTGAGGTACTGGAGTGACGAGTGTCAGGGCAGCTCGTCCAGTCTGCATCGGAGTAGCTAGACAAAAAATGATGTTAAGTTTATTTACAATTGAAAAGCCTAACAATCTTATATTACCTCAAGCTCGTACGTACATGTACCATTACTCAATCTTGTGTGCCACCCACTGCGGGAGATCAGGCTCAGTTGCTCCAGGGTGAACTCGTGATTATCAGACGAGCTACTGCCTACTAGCCGGCAGCTCGCCCACATGACAGGTGAATGAATAAGGCCACAAAACCAGCAGCCAATAATATAAATACCAGCTCCTGCCTACTAGCCGACAGCTGTGCATTTGTAGAAGCTAGCCGTGCATGGCTTGCATATAGAATCTCTAATAGGCCCAAGTGCAACAGACCGAAGTGTATGTGTTCAGTGCCGTGCTTGGCCCATATATGAAGGCCGGTTCGCCTGATAGCGCAAGGCATGTGCTAGGCCGCCGTCCCAAGAACTAGCCCGAAACCAAGCGAACCTGCCTAGTTTTTGCCTAAAACGATGAATTTTGGCCTAGAGGGGTGAATTTTGAGAATTGACAAGGTTTGCCATTTTTTACCTAAATTTAGGCCATTTTTAGCCAGAACTGAGACCTGCCTGGTTTTGTATACCTCAAACCTGGCTAGTGCCTCGATCAAGTTGTGGGCTTGGTTGGGCCTTGCCTCGGCCGGGTTTAGTTGGTTGTTCATTTACTTTGTTCGTTGTCAAGATCAATTACCGTCGTCAAGGTCGGTAAAATAAAAGAGACAAGAACGCGACAGTATACATCCATAGGCGATGTGCACACACATTTAGATTAAAGAGATGCGTACGCTATGTTTAGCTAACACAATACATGCATGAACCGAGTGCACGAACGTGTTTTAAGAAGCTAGCTAACTTAGGTTTTCCGTTTTTTGGCATGTTAGTGATCACCATAAACCAAATCTAGATGAATTATTGCTCGACCTAGTGGCTAGTACTCCCTCCGTTCCTAAATATAACCTTTTAGGAATTCCACTATAAACTATATACGGAGCAAAATGAATATGTCTATATACATCCGTATGTACTTCACAGTGGAATCTGTAAAATGTCTTATATTTATTTAGGAACGCAGGAAGTATATCAGTTAGATACAGTAAAAAGAATATTGTTTTATTGGTCAAAGTCTCAACCCGTTGGCATGCTCTGTTTAGGGTGGGCATTTTTTTCTCGAATACGCACGAGTGTGCGTGCATTATATTAAAGCTCTGCGCAGGCATGAATGAGCTACTGCAAAAATGCGGCAGTTCACACTCCCAAATGAACCAACAACAAACTTGAATAAATAAGGAGAAAATCATACACAGATTATGGCATGCCACTCCGGTTGAAGAATTGAATGTCATTGCACGAGAAGTAATCGACATCAATTTCAACACGATTTCAAACACTTTCGGTGGAAAACAAGCAAAAAAGAACAAGTTGCATCATCTGGCGGCTAGTCTTGCCATTTTACAATGTGATTCAAAATCTCAGCTCTTGGGAGGATACTTCTCTGCTCGGTGACTTGCGACCTTTGGGGGTAACCACGGCGTCATCAACAGTCTTAATGGCACCAACACCAAACATTGGCCCCTTGTTGCCTGCATCTGTAGCAAACCACAACATAGTCAACAACAGTTTGACACGTCACATGAGTCAATCGATTCAAACAAAATGCCTAATGTTGATAGAAAAAAGCCATACATATGTTGATTATGCTCGCACTAACTAATCTAAGCCGCACAAAAAAGCAACTGTGCCACAATGAATTGGCAAGAGGCAATAAACAGAGACCTATGTATGAGATCCTCTACTGCAGATATTTCAGCAAAAGATGAAAGTCATGCATCCAACTTCGGGAAGAATCATTAACGAGCGGCCTGTACTAAAAGAAAAAAAAACATGACAAACATGTGTACTTGTAGCCCACAACCTACAAGAGTATATATGATTACCAACTCACTGTAAGCAGTCTGAGAAACATCTGATTAAAAATCAGTAGATAAATCTCAGTTTCGCACTCGCATGACACTATTCTCTCAAAAAGAATTGCGCCTCCATCTCTCACTGCTTTTAATACCAAAAACTTAAATGTGCATACTGCAACAGTGCAAAGAACATTGGTTTCCTGATACTGGCTAGGCTACAGCACTAACTGAAAATCATTGGCTATCACTCATACCAAGTCCTACGATGGCAAGGTTTAGTCCAGGAATTCTCAGCTACCTGGTGGTCAGAATCAATTTTAAGCTACCATCAAAACAAAAAGATCTATTAAAAGGGGTTAAAGCCCCACACAGTAACATACGATCATAGGTTTTTGTTGGTTATTAGGCCATGTAAATCAACTGCCATAATTCAAATTTCCATCACAGCAGCAGAATTGACCTAGCATTATCAACACCCCAGCTAGGGCATCACAACCAAACTAAATCACCAAAAAATCAGCTGGGCTTCAGCAAGCTTCAGAACAACTGAAGGAAAACCTCTCCCTCCAAGCTACTTAGCAACTACAGCAGGCTTAAGAAGTTAAGAAGCATGAACTGGAAAATAATGCCAAAAAGGTCTTAAACAAATCACCAAAGCTTGTCTTCTTAGAGATTATTTGTATTACGTTAGTAGTGCATATCTTAGCCTGTGAGATCTAAGATGGGTCCTTACGATGGAATGGTTTAGTCCAGGAATTCTCAGCTACCTGGTGGTCAAAATAAAATTTAGCCAGGCCACCATTTCTCGAAACAAAAAAGATTTATTATTAGGGGGTTAAAGCCCCACACTATAACATAAGAGTGTGGTTACCACTGTCTTTGCTAAACCAGGCGGAAGAACAGTAGTGGGAAAAGGTGCCTCCCAACGAGTGGAAACAAAGATACTATCTATATCAGCGACCACAGGTTTTTGTTGGTTATTGTCCCATGCAAAATCAACTACCAGAATTGAAATTTCCATCACAACGACAAAATTGATCTAGTACCAACAACACCCCAGCCAGCGCATGAATAGGACATCGCAACCGAATCAAATCACCACAAATCAACTTCGGCTCATTGGCCAGCACACAAAGCAGCCTTAGCTCAAAGGCTAGGTCACAGATTACAGGGTGGGAAGGCGAAACGTAGGACTTACCAGTCAAAGTTGTAGCCAATGCCAAACATCACTGTGCAGTGAATTCACCCATCGCGTGGCACTTAGGTTTGCTCCCGGTGATCACTTCCAGGATTTGTCTTTATATATGCACTCCTGGGATATTCAAAAAGCGAGTTAGGTCTCTCAAATTAAAGATGACACAAAACGTAAGTGAAAAGAAGTCCAAATCTCTTCAGGTTGTATAACAGTCTAACAAGAACTCGTGAGTTGCAAATAACCAAAAGCTTAAAGATAATGTAAATGAACCAAGCTTCAGTTGAAACATTGTCAATCTGTTGTTAAGTAAAAAGGACCTATAAACCATTGCCATATTGCAAATATGTACATCTTTGCTAAAACTAACAGCAGATTTCTCAACGATAGATCACACTTCATACAAGGTAAACATAAAATTCTTCAAATGGGGTCTTTACAGGGTGATCGGGACAGCACGCAGAGAGCCATAGAGACAAATTGAACACTGTCGTGGTGTCCAAGCCGAGTAGAAAACAACAATGTTTATTACATGATGCCGCAGAAACTAGAGGCATATTGCACAATAACTATGTAGAGCAGAAGAGGCCACACAGTCTCCCCAACTTGTTATTATATCTCCAGCTCAATTTCTGCCAAATCATTGGCGCGTCGCGGGCAGAGGATTCCTCCGCCAATTATTTGGCTTGCCCATAGATTGGCAAGGCTGGCCGTGGCGCAATCCAAACAATCCCTATTTTCCAGTACATAAGAAAAAATTCAACAGAAACAAAACCGAATGAATCCATGATTACATCACGAACCCAGATAAGCCAGACCAAAACCAAGCATAATGAATCCATTCTTATCAATATCATGACTAGAGATACATATATAGATAGTAATCCTAAATCCTATCCTATCAATTCAGAATCGGGCAGCATGACTAAAGGCTCAAATATGAACATGTGTATTATGTTGACTCCTGATAACTGTAGACAAACCCGAAGACAACAACTTGGCATCATTCAGCAGACAGGAATTGTCAACATGGAACGAAAGCATGTCTTCCTAATGAACTTCAGCTCGATGGACAGCTATCCAGCACACGGAGCAACCTTATCTGGAAGGCTAGTTCCCAAAGCACGGTAGAGGCAAAACAGATGACTTACCCGTCAGAGTTGTAGCCGATGCCAAACATCACCGCCGCAGCAGCGTGAATGCGCCTGTCACGTGGCACACATGTTTGCTCCAAGTGATCACTTCCCAGTTTTCTTTCCTTTATATACGCACTCCTGACATATTCAAAGAACCAAATCAGGTCTTGAGAATGAAGACAACACAAAAAAGGCACTGACTAAATAAGTGAAAAGTCCAAATCTCTTCCGGTTGTATAACATGCTAACAAGAACCCATGAGTTGCAAATAACCTAAAACTTAAACAAAATATAGATAAAGCAAGCTTCAATCGAAACATTGTCCAATCTGCTATTAATGAAACAACACCTATAAACCATTGCCAGATTGCAAATAAATACATATTTGCTAAAACCAATAGCAGATTGCTCAAAGACAAATCGCACTACATACAAGGTAAACATAAAATTCTTCTAATGGGGTATATACAGGGTGATCGTCATAGCATGCAGAGAGCCATAGAGAGAATTTGAACACTGCCTGATAACTTATTCGTGGTCCCCAAGCCGAGGGTGATAATTTTTTTAGGGCCACCTTTGACATCAAAACTCTAAACCTAAGACCACACTCATTTCTGTTACTAATACGAACAAATAAAGGTACACGGGCAGCTCCCAGGAGAATAGGAGCAGGGAGAACAGGAGCAGAGAAGATGCAGGGCCTCAGCAAGCTTTTGAACAACCAAAAGAAAACCTCTCTCTCCGTGCTACACAACACCTTACATCAGGCTTAAGAAGTGAAGAAGCATGATCTGAAAAATGATGCCAAAAAGGTCTTACACAAATTAGCCTGTCGAATCTAAGTGGGATACTATGGCAACGTTTAGTCCAGAAATGCTCAACTACCTGGTGATAATAATCAATTTTCAGCCAAACAAAAAGATCTATTGTTAGGTGTTAAAACCCCACAATGTAACACAAGAGGAGAGCGGTCATCGCGTGTCTTTAGTGAAGCAGGCAGAAGAGCAGAGTAGTGGGAAAATGTGCATCTCAACGAGTGGAAACGAATATCCTGTCTATATCAGCCAACATAGGTATTTGTGGTTATTGGCCAATTTAAATCTGAGAAGGTGAGTGGGAATGTTATTTGTATGGTCTCTGGACTACTTATAGGCAAAGGTAGCAGATTAACCTTATAACTCCCTGTAAAACAAAAATATAAGACAAAAATAGATATTTAACTAGTGCGGTTTTGACATCAGAAATAGAAACAATTCTGTTTACCTATTCAAGGTTTTCTAAATAAACCATGTAAACAGTTTATCATGCAAGCAGTCAAAGAAGATATACCATTGCCAGTCCAACTGAAAGGAACCATGCTGTGCAATCTTCTTTCCAAAAGCAGTCCTTAGGGCCCGCTCAACCATCATGTGCGTGCCACATTCTGCTGCTACTCTTAGTCTCAGGCAATGATGTGATCTTCCAGGACCAAGCCTTCCCTGCAAAGCAACATAAATATGACACACAAAGTACAGGTTGGGAACGATCAATGGTAGTATTAGAATTCAGAAGACTGATGCTTACTTCAGTAAGCTCGAAACCATGTCCTTCCCCATGGAGGATATTCATGAATGGAACACGCAAGTTATCAGAAGCAATCTCTGCATGTCCATGTGATGCATCATTGAACCCAAAGACTAACATTGGTCTCTTTCTCTTCAACCGGGAGTGTTGATATCCAATAAGATCACTGACTGCTGCTTGCATTTAGGTGCGGACAAAACTATTTTTCCTGCATGAAACAAGCACCACTTAAATCACAGGAAAAATATTAGATCACCCACAACATGTCCATGTTACGCTTACCATTAATATGAGGACTTTACACTCGGGTCAATAGTCCTACCCGTCCACCATTTTTGCCATTTTTCTCATAGAAATCCTTGTCTGTCGAGGGATAAATAGTCAAGTAATCAGTGACGCATAAGACTCAAATTAAAGAAAATGATGCCATTTCTATAGTCCATCAAAAGAGGAGGGCGTGGAAATGTATGCCATGGGGATATAATTGATTTGCTGCTAATACACAAGAATCTGGAGGTCTTGGCCAACATACTAAATTACTCGTACTATTTTTGCTGCTAGACTAAAAATACTTTTCAGGTGAGAAAAAAAATAGACAAAAGGAACTGTTGGTAACTCTACAAACCAGGATCAGCTACACATCTCGTCCAAAGCTATTTGATAGCCCATAACATGTAATAGCTTTGTAACTAAAGAGAGAGGTGGGAGAGGCATTAGTAAGCACATGTGATAATATATCAGCAGTCAAAAAACCATATCACTGAAGGTTAAATCATGGCTAAATTCACACTTTGGAGCTAAATCCACCAAAACAGGTTGCATCAAAGATCATCACAAGAATAGCAGATGTTCAACACAGACCATCGCCATAGCCCAAAACCCTAGATATTGCCATGGCTCGATAGCAATGCATGGGAACACAGAGCATGACATAACAGAACACAACGATTATGAATAATACTGCAGTAGCAGCTGTGTCACAAAGAACCAAGCACACAGTAAAACTATGATGGCAACATGAAAAATAAAGTGCAATATGAAGACCTTGCAGACGATGCAGGAATAGTTAAATGTTATGGTGACCATTAATATCAAGATTTTACGCGTCATGTAAACAATTAAATGAATCAAGCTCATGCAAGTTAATGGTGATGTAAGCAAATAAACGGATTATGCAAGAAGTCGCAAAGGTTATACCTTTACCAGGTCCGACTGAAAGGAACCATGATGTGTGATCTTCTTTCCAAAAGCGGTCCTGCGTAAGGCCCCCTCAACCATCACATCCATGCCATGTTCCGCTACTACTCTTAGTATCATGCAATGAAGTAGTCTTCCAAGGCCTAGTCTTCCCTGCAAAGCATCTTAAATATGACACAGTAAGTACAGGTTGGGATTGATCAATACTAGTGTCAGAAGAGTGCTGCTTACTTGAGCAATCTCGAAACCACATCCTTCCCCGAGGAGGATATTTGTGACCGGAAAACACACGTTATCAGAAGTAATCTCTGCATGTCCTTGTAGTGGGTCATCGAACCCAAAGACTAACAATGATCTCTTTATCTGCACTCCAGGAGTGTTGATATCCACTAAGATCATTGGCTGCTGCTTATGTTAAGTGCAAAAGAATCTGTTTTTCCCTGCATGAAACAAACACCGCTTAAATCACAGGAAAAATGTACATCACCCGTAGCACCACTTTCATGGATAGACGTTACGCCTACCATTAATATGAGGACTTTTCACCTCGGGTCCATAGCCCCACCGGCCCACCATTTCTTGCCTTTTATCGCAAGAATAGAAATCCCTGCCTGTCAAGGGATAAATAATGAAGTAATCACCAAGGCAGAAAACTCAAACGAAAGAAAATAAAAATGAAGCCATTTGTATAGACTATGAAAAGTGGAGGGCCTGGAAATGTACACCATGAGGATACAATTGATTTCCTATTAATACTGTAGAGAAGTAAGAGAGGATGCAACAGTGAACTTGTATTGATCATCAACAGCGAGTACATATATACAGGGTAGCGGACGAGAATTTGTAATAGAGAAACCTCAATAAACTCCTACGTATACGCCTATACAGGAGATCTTAGAGGGAGACATGGGCGTTAGGCTAGCTGCCATGCACCGGAGATAATAAACCAAGTTCTTACAAGAAATACAGAGGAATTTCAGGGTCTCAACCAGCATACTGCATGACTAATTTTGCTGTTGAACTGAAAAATCAGCTGAAAAAAATAGACAAAAGAAACTGGTTGTAGCTGTAGGAAGGAACTAGGATCAGCAATAAGATCTCGGCAACAGCTATATGATAGCCCATATAACAAGGTAATAGCTTTGTGACTAAAGAGGAAGGGGGGAGGGAGGCGGGAGGCGTTAAAAAGGTGTAAGCACATGTGACGAAGATATCAACAGCCCAGAAAACGTATCGCTGAAGGTAAAATCCTGGGAAATTTTGCACTTCAGAGGTAAGTAAATCCACTAAAACGGACCATCACTACAGCCCAAAACCCTAGAAATTTCCATGGCTCGATATGGGTACACAGAGCATGACAGAACATAACACAACGAATCTGAATTATACTGGAGTAGCAGCTACGTACGTCACAGAGAACCGAGCAGACAACAAAACTATGATGGCAACATGGGAAAAAAGTGCAAGATGAAGACCTTGCAGCAGTAGATGGCGGCTCCTTGTCCTTGTCCGGCCGGCTGACTGATGGATGTTTGCTTGCCGACTAGCAATCGATCGAGGGATGGAGAAGAGTAGAATCCGGCAGCGATTTGAATGTAACGGGGAAATGGGGGGGCTTCGATGAGTCAGTAAGAGAGAGACCAGAGAGGAGGGGCGGGAGAATCTGCGAGGGGGTCGGGGTGAGGCGACCCCCGTAGATCCGTGGAGCCCGAGCCTGGTTCGGCGCCGGCGAGCGGGCGCCAGAGGCCACCCACCGCACGCCCGCGTCGTGGCCCAAGAAGAACCACACATGGGCTCCTCTCCCGGCACGCGTTGTGGGTGTGGAGGCAACGTCGAGCACCTCCGTCGCGGCCCGGGTAGAAGCAACCAACGGCGACGTGGATCGGGAAGCACCAAGGCGGATCTGGAAGCGCCATAGCCGACGCTTGACCAGCTCGACCTGGGTCCTAGGTTAGGGCCACACGGTCGGGCGGCTGCGGGAAATCAGATGGGCGATAAAATTTTGGGAGGCGGCCGCGGAAAATCCCGGCGGGCATGAAAATTTCACGCACAGGCTAGAGGTGGGGTCGGGGTGGTGTGATTTTTTCTTCTTTTTAATTAAAGAGAGAGAGGGAGAGTGGGGCTTTGGTGGCTCTCTCCTTTTTCATTTAATTGGAATTAACTCTAGAATGTTTGGCTTCTTCATCGGGGACAGTGTTTTCTCGGGGAATTTGAGGATTTGCCAAATCTTTCTTTGCACTTTCAGGATTTGCCCTCATTTTCGTCGTCATTAATGGTTTGCCACACGTTTGCTGAAATCTTGGTGATTTGCCCCTGACAAGATGGACCCATAGAGAAATGTCGAAAATGCCCCTGCAATCCCCAACCTAGTCCCGTCTCTCACCTCTCCCAGGCCCGATGAAATCACGGCGATGACCTGCACCGCTGCATGGACCGGAGCCTTACACGCATGAAGCTCTGACTTCTCTGTCACGGCGAGAAACAAGCATGAGTGCACTCATTGGCGAACCGGGCCGTCGACATCAGAAGGACAGGTCACGACCCAGCTCCGCATTCCACCATTGTCGTCGCCGCACAAGTCGCAGCGCCAACCACACGCAACACCGGTTGGTCACTTGCCAACCGTGATGCCATGCATGTCGAGCCCAAGGTAAGCGCGGAGAAGGATCATCGATATTCAAAGCAACACCCCAAGGGGGGAAACGCTGCAGGAACAACGTCGTTGCCTGACCCAGATGAGTCAAGGCTTTCGTCCGATGAACCAGATCCGAGGATGCAGCGGATCGAAGAAACTCCATGACAGCGCCTTCAAGAATCGGGCAAGCTTTCGATACCCTCACACAGTCGGCCGAAGTCGGGCCAAACTGCACAAACATCGGGAGCAAACAGAGGATATGAGGATTCCGGCGGGGTTGAGTTGAGCCTGTGATCTCTCGTATGTTTGTGAGGGTGTTTGGAACCCTAGTGCATAGGTGTCAACTCGTAGATAGGTTAAGGCTAGGGTATTGTTGCAGTGCGTTGTTGATTGCGACGAGGGTGGCGGTGTGTTCTAATGAAATGAAATAAAAAAAAATATGAAAACATATATTTTGTGCATTAGCTAGGTTTTTTTAGAACACAGTACAGACGTGGGCGATCATATATACGCGCATTCATTCACCCCTATTAACACACACATGCACAACATATCCCCTATGATCATCTCTGAGAGATTGAGTCGGCATATCATCTTAGGGTTGACGAAGTTACCTCATAGGCGCCTCATAGTCGACGGGAACGTATGCTCCCACTAAACGTTTGCTCGCATGCATGTGCATTTGAACGAGCTAGCTATATGCTCCATCCGTCCCTAAATATAAATCCTTTTAGATATTTTAATAATGACTATATATATATATATACATGTATTTTTTAGTATAAATCCACTCATTTCGAACGGTATGTAGTCTATATTGAAATCTCTAAAAAGGACTTAGATTTAGGAACGGAGGTAGTATTTCTTGAAAAAAAAAGAGAAGGACCTAGCTATATATAGTAAGTGTATAAGTTTTGTGCACGTGCACTAGCTAGTAGCTAGCCTAGCAGCTATAGCATCAGTTATTTTTTCTACAACAATTTGTTGTATCGAAAAATGAAACCAAGTAGGAGTACTCACTAGATGGAGTATTTCATTTGGCGCGTGGACTTTGGAGACCGTCGCACGTGCACTGAGATGGAAACTATGCCGGCGCGTGTGAGTTCGGAGTGGAGCATGATCGAGCCGACGACGCGTTCTTCGTGCGTATGCATGCCGTACGGCGGCAGCAGAATCGGAAAGTTGGTCGCGGGCAGGGAGACGATCGATCAGAGGAAAAAAGTTTCAAGTCGCGATGGCGGCGGCGGCGACCGGAGAGCAAATTTGGTTGTCCGACGAACCCCGCGGCCGTGAGAGAGGCGAACGCCTGCGCGCGCCTGGCTCTGGCTGGACGAGAGGGCGAAACCATGCATGGGCCCGACGTGCAGTCCTGCCGCCTATGCCGTTTCCGATTTGCCGGCCGTGTTGCTGCGATGTATAGCAATAGCATGACGAGGAATTGATTCGTTGGCGGTGCGTGGCAGAGCGGAGAGGAGGAAGAAGACGAGGTCCGTTGAGCCCGCAGCGGAGCGGTGGGAAGAGGTGAAGTGCTCCCAACGCACGGACGCCGGCGGTGGGCGTGCAGCTTGAGAAAGACGTTGCCTTTGTGCGCCGACGCTGATGGACCTTGACGCACGAGCAGGATTGACATGGATTCCAGCGGGCTCTCGGATGATTTGTCCTTCTTGTGGATTTGCGGCCAGTCATGTTAGTCATGAGACATGAATGAAGAATGAGAAGCACGCGATTTGGCTCTGTGGTGTGCGTCGGCCGGATTCCTGCAAGAAAGGACTTGAGTGGGCGGAGAAGAGTTGGCAGGTCAGGTGGCATGGCGCTGACCGGAGACGGGAGAGACGAGCTTAGGCGCTCCGCTGGATCGAGGAGGAAAGAGAAGATGCATGCACGGCAGGTGTGGCGACGAGAGGCCCAGCCGGTCCTAGCTGGCCTTGCACGTACGCACGCACGCATGTTGGTCTTATCCTGCATGCGGCAAACGCCGGCAAGGATTCATGAGGGCTTGGAGTTGCCGTCGCCGGAGAGGTCGCAGTGGCATGCATGCAGAGAGCCGGCGAGCAGTACGACTGTCGCGCGCGAGGGCGGCCTCCGAAACGCAGATGCTGGGTTGCCTCCTTGCAGGGGCCAAAACGCTGGGGAGGGGGATTCCGGCGAACTGCGTGCGGCCGGAGAAACAAACGTCTGTCATCGTGCAGATTCGCCGTGGGAGGCCAGGCGGCAGACGTACTCAGGAATCCAAGTATTTTTTCCTTGTTGGCCGCAACAAATTCTCTGTATTTGATTTGATGGGAATTTGTTTTCTTTTTTTCTTTTTGAGAGAGAGAAGAAAGAATATTGGACGGGAGGACGGAGGTTGGATTGGAGAAGAAGAGTCGAGTCGAGAAAAGGAGCGTCGCGAATCGTCTCGCTCCTCTCTTCGCGAATCGTCGCGAATCGTTTCTTGTTCGGCATGCAGCCACAAAACAGCATGCCTTGTTCGGCATCTTTGCACCGTCGTTAACCGGTTTTTTTTCGATTCCTTGGCGTGCGTGCAGCTCGGAGGGCCATCATGGACGATTTTACTGGGAAGAAGGGATTCCACGGGCGCAAACGTCCAGGCCCGCACACCAGCGGGCAGGCGCAGTGCAGCTCCTTCCGCTCCCGGATCTACGGCGGCGACACCAACATCAACGCGCCCTACGCCGCATCTCTCCGGGCCAACTGCCCCCAGTCCGGCGGCAACGGCAACCTGGCGCCGTTGGACACGACGACGCCCAACACCTTCGACAACGCATACTACACGGACCTCCTATCCTAGAAGGGGCTCATGCACTCGGACCAGGTGCTCTTCAACAACGACACCACCGACAACACCGTCCGCAACTTCGCGTCGAGCGCGGCGGCCTTCAGCAGCGCCTTCACGACGGCCATGATCAAGATGGGCAACATCGCGCCGCTCACCGGGGTGCACGGCCAGATCAGGCTCAGCTGCTCCAAGGTGAACTCCTGATTGACGTACATGTTGGCAGCTCGCCGGCACGGCACGTCAATGAATAAGTTCCCAGAAGCAGTAGCCAAGACCAATTATAGCACTTAGCAACCCTACCCGGTCATGGGCTACTCGGTGCATGCTGTGGTGCTTGAAGACCTCAAGTTTGAAATGCGTACCGGGTTTTCGAAGCCTGAGGTTCAGGCATGCTAGAGAGATTGCACTAGCTAAACTAGGTCTGCAATGTATTGGTGCCCATGCTTTAATGTGGGAGTATGATTACTGTCCAGCGGTTGTTGCTGATCATGTAAAAGGTGACATGCCCACGTCTTAACAAAGCTTTGGTAGATCAATTATGTACCAGCACTTGAAACGTGTGTTTTTAGAAACCGCTTAGAGCATCTCCAACAACCACGCCAAAAGACACGCGCGGGGGCTAAACTGGGCTTTTAGCGCGCGCGGCCCGTTTTCGCGCGCTCCAGCGGTGGAGGCAAACTAGCGCGCGCGGGAGAAAGCGGCAGCTGGTGCGGTAGCCTATAAAATGCGGCGCTCGCCACACGCTCCACCACACTGCCACGCGCCCTTCGCCTCGCCACCTCGCCGCTTCCAAGCTTTCTCGCCGCTTCCAGCGCCCCGCCACCACCGCGCCACCATGCCACCGCGCCGCCGGGGATCTTCGGGCTACCGCGGCGTCTGCGAGCGCCCCAACGGCTGGTACTCCGCCTAGATCCGGTCCGGCGACGTCCGGCTCGGCCTCGGCTCGTTCCGGACCACGCACGAGGCGGCCCGCGCGTACGACGCGGCGTCATGGCGTTTGGAGAGGCCGCCGTCGCAGATGAACTTTCGGGACGTCTACACGCGCGAGCAGGCGTAGCGCATCGCCCCTCCGCCTCGTCTGATCACGGACCAGGACCATGCGGACCATGTTCGGCTGCAGCGCCGCCTCCTCGTCGCTGAGGAGGAAGAGCGAGCCATGGCGGAGTGGCACCGGCGCCACCCGGAGGACATCGCCGCCGAGAACGCCTTCTGGGCGGAGGGGACGGTAAGGCACCGCGCAGAGCGTGCCGACAGGCGTCGGCGCAAAGCACCGGCCTTATCGCAGTGCGATATCGTCGAGGCGGGCGGCACGTTGATCTTCTCCCCTAACGATGACCGGTGGGATGACATGTGGCTCGATACCTCGGACAACACACCGAGGATGATGATGATGATGGTGATGACGATGACGGCTGGGAGTAGGTTTTTAGTTGCACCGTAGTTTTATCAAGTTGCACCGTAGTTTTTCTATCTAATTGCACCGTAGTTCTATCTATCTATGCTTCAGAAACTATGTAAAATATCTTTGTATCCTTTTTATCTATGCTACTATGTATCGTTTTCTATCTATGAACAAAGTTATCAAAAAAAATGTTTGTGCGAGAGTGCGCTCTGCATTTTAGCGCGCATGCTAAAGCTACGCACGCGCTGCAGTTTAGCGCGGCTGCTGGAGCCAGCGCTGCGCGCGTGCCAAACCTGACGATGGGCGCGCCGTAAACCAGATTTTAGCGCGCCGCGCGTTCGGCGCCTGTTGCAGATGCTCTTATAGATCAGTCAACTGATTTTTCTTTTCAAGTTTCAGTCACTTTGCTCTCAACCTTCGACAGGGTGTTTGGCAGCTTGGGAGATTGGAGCCGGTGGGAATTCGAACATGAAGTTATTTTCTCGAACAGGGAATTGCCGGGAGGCGGGGGCCTGTTTTTGTTTTTGTTTTTGTTTTTTGCTTTTATTTTTGTATGTTTCTTTATAGTTTCATACAAAAAACAATCTACATAAAACATTTGGAAAGTGGTGAACAAGTATTGGAAAAATGTTCATTAAATATTTCAAAAAATTTGAACAAGTATTTGAAAAATATTAACCAAACATTTAGAAAATGTTGAACGTGTACAAAAAACATATATAATTTCACCAGAAGTTCTATCATATGCATCTTGTTCATCGTGATCGTAATTACATATATAATTTCTGGCCTCGCGAAGGAGAAAGCATCGCTCAAGCTTGGGGGAGGCTTAAGTCAATGTTATATTCATGCCCCAATCATGAGCTCTCTCGGGAAATGATTATTCAGAATGCTACAGCCAACCACGACATCCACATCTCGAGCTCAAAACTTTGTTGTTGCTCTGTGTTGCATAATCAATTGACACATCCCATATTGTCAGACAACTGAAAATAGTAAAACCGGTAAAGCAAAGAAACATAAGCATAAGATTTTGCCTCCTCCAATAACTAATAAGTTAGAGAGTTTTACATTTGGCACGATTACACAAAAACACTCACTCTCTTGGTATGATTTTTCCCAAAATGCTTGGCACCGAAGTGGACCAAAGGGTGGCTTCGTGCATGATGTTGGCGAGAAGAATAGGCATCGGTGCAGACTTGTAGAGGAAAATCTATGCATTGAGCTCGTTCCAAATTGTCCAACATGTGAGTATGGTGAGAGAAGCCATTACCCTCCTATTAGGTATATGCACCTTTGAAATGTCGATCCACCACTCCTTGATGGACCGCACCACATTCCAAAAAGAGGAGTGAATATGAAGTCACTCCTTCACCATGCCCCAAAGCCTAATGGTAAACCGACATGAAGAAACGGGTCACGGTTGCATTCTACCACTTGCAAAGAGAGCACAACACACAATTAAGCCAACTCCGCTTTGCCAACATATCGAAAGTCCAAATCCTTTTGAGAGCCAACCATGCAAAGAATTTGACCTTCATGGGGAGGGGGTGATCTCCAAACTTTGCTCTCAATGACGAAGTTAGTGAAACCAAGATATTGGGCCTTGTAAGTAGTTGTCGCCCAGTAGTCCCACTAGACGTATGCTTCCATATGATGCCGTCATCCATTTTTCGTCGAGTTGGATTTCACGCAAGTTTACCCAAAGAGAGATGCTTTGGTGAATACGGCATAAAGTCCATTGAGCGGGAAGCTTTATTTATGGCTTCTTTCTCGAATCTAAATCACTCACATGAAAGCTGACAAGGCACATTGTTCATTCCATTTTCTCTTTAGTTTGCAACCTGAATAAACGATCAAAGGTTAAGTCTAGACATTTTGTCTGAATCGATTGACTCATGTGATGTGTTGTTGACTTTATTATTCTTTTTTTTGCTACAGGTACATGCAACATGGGGCCCCATTCTTTTGTTGTTGGTGCCATTGAGATTTATCAACCATTGCTGAAATGTTACTTATCAAAGTCACTGTCAAAGAACAAGAAGCAGTCTCTTCGTACTAAGAGAAGAGCCTCTACCTTGTTGGTGACATCTTCGGGATCTATATGCATCACTAGCCTGTTTTTGGTAATCGTCTCATCTCTAGATATATTTCCAGTTGATGATTATCTAGAGGAACATGTAAGATGGAGTCCCCAAATTCCTACCTAGTTTTCCTTATTGAGATTGCTTTCTACAAGTCAGGCTCCTCTGGCCTTTGCCAAAATGTCAATTTAGATTATTGATCCCCTCCTGGAGATATAGTAGCAAGTCGGGGAGATTGTCTGACCTCTACTGCTGCTCTATATAGTTTTTGCGAAATATGCTTTTATTGTGGGCTAGATCAGTTTCTGTGTATATGGATCATTGGCAGACTACTTGCTTTCTGGTAGACTCTTTAGTAATAATTTCTCGCAAAACTGAAGCACCCCAAAGTTGGTGAGTGCAAGCCAATGATTTTCAGTTACTGATGTAGGCTAGACAGTGTCAGTCAATCAATGTTCTATGCACCATTGTAGTATTTTTTTGGGTATTCAAAGTAGTGAGAAACCAAGACACAATTCATTTTGAGAGAATGGTGTCCGGCGAGTGAAACTGAGATTTATCTACTAATTTTCTGATCAGATGTATTCTTGGTCTCCTTACAGTGAGTCGTACGGCTCCAGTGGGGCTGCAAGTACATGCTTGTCTTGTTTTTCCTTGTAGTACGGTCAGCTGTTAATGTTTCTTGTTGAAGTTGATATCATGTGTTTCACCTTTTGCTGAAATATCTGCAGTAGGAAATCTCATACATAGCCATAGTCTCTGTTTATTGGCTCTTTCCAATTCCATTGTGGCTCAGTTGCTTTTTCGTGTGGCTTAGATTAGTAATCAACATCTGCATGGCTTTTTCTTGAATCTAAACTGCTCACTTGAAGGCTGACAAGCCACCCTGTTGTTTCAATTTACTCTTTTGCTAAAGGATTTTGTTTCAATCGATTGTTTCATGCGATGTGTCAAATTGTTGTTGACTTTATTCGTGTGTTGTGCTTGAGATACATGCAACTTGGGGCGAATGTCTGAGCCATTGTTGGTGTTGGTGCCATTGAGATTGATTGCAATGATGTGGTTACCCCAAAAGATCGTGAGTCACCAAGGAGAGAAGTACCCAGTTTTTGAATCATCATATTGTAAAATGGCAAAACTAGCCGGATCGTGCAACTTGTGCTTTTGTTTGTTTTCCGCCGAAATTGTTGGAAGCTTGTGGTACTGAACTTGTGTTGAAATTGATGTTGATTACTCATTGTTTGTGTGTTGTCCCTAGTTGTGGACTTTGCAATGCAATAAAATTCTTCAACCAGAGTGGCATGCCATGATCTATGTATGCTTTTCTACTTATTTTATTTGATTTGCTGCTTGGTTCATTTTGGAAATGTGAACACTGATTGTTTCGGCCGCAATGTCTGCAGTAGGTCATTCATGCACACCCTGAGCAGAGCATGCCAATGGGTTGAGATTTGGACGAATAAAACTATGCTTTTTTTCTTCACTCTATGTAACCGACATAGATCAAACACTAATTCATCTAGATT